AAAAATGTGATTTTTGTTCGAAAAAATTTAGCCTTTGATGGAGAAAATGCAATTTTAAGTACCAACGGGCTAATTCTAATGATAATTTCGTAATTCAGTTTTCTCAGCTTTGGAAGGAGCTAGAACAAAAATTTTTTTATCATTAAATAGGGAATTGTTTATACTATATACATCACTATTCAAAACAAAAGAATTCGCACCTACGATTTTTTCAGAAAACGCCGCCTAAATGCCCACTGTGTATTGGGAGCGCCCAGTACAGCGTTTTCCATAGACAGAACGTTTTTCTCAGTAAAACAAATTTTCCAACTGACTTTTGCATGGTGAATAAAGGTCTACAGATTTTGAGTTATACTTTTGGCAGTACAGTAGAAACATTTTCTTATCGTAACAGTAGGACAGCACATATCCAATATCCAGTACTCCAGGACCAAAGATCAATACCAATCAAGAGTAGTGGTCTTGGGGCATGTCTAAACGGAAGGGTAAAGGAGAGTCAACTGACCCTCGAAAAGATTATAAAGCCGACTGCGTGAAATGGTAAGCACACGAAAGTAGAAGATCAAGAAAGGCATAACAGTTTGACTTTTTCAAAGAAAGATAATATTCAACACGAAGTGAATATTCATACAGTATCTGATATGATGAAAACTATAGCAGAATGTTTGATATGATAATGAAACAGCTGATATGCCATGTCATACATTCTGTTATAGTTTTCATCACATCAAGCACTGTAGCATATATTCACTATGAGGTGAATCACGTGACCATTAATTATCTCATAGGAAAAACGATAGAGTTCAAAAAAAAATTTGTTCATTTTGTGACAGTAACTATAAGACAATTAAAGCAAATATTCGAAAAGCAACTTCAGATGTGTCATCTACGACACTTTCAAATGATCTTTTCATCGAATCTGTGCCATCATAAATAACCGAGAACGAGTGGCTTGCTCGAATAGGCCTGTTACAATACCAGACAATGCCATGGCACTGGCACTCTTTTAAAAGTAAAAAACAATAATAAGTTCAGAAACCAAAGCCACAGTCGTCCTAAAATCACGGCAAGGAATAACCACAGAGTAGGTAGTTTTTTCCATCTTCAAACGAGAGAAATATGTATCATAATCATGAGCTACATAGCCAGCAAACTGAACATATACATATTCCTCTGCTTTTGCAAAAAAAATAAAATTTTCCTCTCTTATTTCTTTCTGCTCGTGTGAGTCATCATTTTCACTGTCCACTAATTTGTCCAAACAAAACGCATGTCTAATTCCGCCATTTTGTACAAAAATCTCTATCTCTCTCCAAAGCAAAGTTTTTCTTCCGGAAAATAGTTTTAGAACGGCTGGAAAGCGCCAGTGCCATGGTGCTGGACTTGTAAAAGAGTGCCAGTAATTTTGTACTTTTGGCACTGATATTTCAACAGGCCTATGCTCGAATGAGAAAAATGTCCAGAATGAAAGAAATAAAGACTGGATAGCCAACTGTCCTTCGAGAAGATTCAAAAGTCGACTGAGTGAAACGCTAACCAGACGAAATTAGAATATCCAGGAAGTTATAACAGTTCTTTTTTCGAGGAAAATGTCCATTCCTATATCAGCTGATTCATTATATTCGACTATAGCTTTCACCATATGAAGCACTGTAGTAGCTAAAGTGCTTAACAGCGTTCACCACTAAGGGTATCTCATGACGATTAATTATCTCATAGGAAAAACATTAGAGCTTTCTAAAGAATATACGCACTTTGTGACACTGATTATAAATAACTAAAGCAAATATCCAAAAACTAACTTCAGATGTGAACTGATTGCATTCACTCATTAGTTATTTGGCAGAGCAGTAAGACTTATTTTCAAAGCGCTCGTTTCGTCTGGGGTCCACGTGGACCACAGGTGGATAGATCAGAGTTAATTGAAGAACGAGATGAACTACCAAGAGATACCGTCTTGCATCATATGCACACCGTTAGGTGGGCGTATGGAGATGATTTCTGCTGTTTGTTGTTACAGCAATCATGTCTTCTTTAAAATCAAATGAAAATTCAAATCTATACTTCTATACCCTAGATAATGTACCCTTTTCTACTCCATATTCAACTTTCGAAAAACATTTTAGCCACATCAACCACCACAACAACTACGGCATCCACCTGTACCTCATGTTACAGTCAAACTGTATCACAAATATTACCATCTACCCTTATTGCTTCGTATGGTTTTGATGGTGATACAGTGGATACTTTAGGTATTTATAACTTCACCATGATTAACAATCCCACATTTGTCCAAGGTTATTTTCCGAATGGTCAAGCTTTACATCTGAATTCAAATTTAAGTCAATATTTGCAAACATCCTATGTTAATTTAACTTATCGTAGTTGGACAGTGTCACAATGGATATATGTGTTAGGCTTCAACGTACAAGACTCAAGTATTGTTGGTGAATGTGTTTCAACGACAACGGACCAATGTTTACATTTAAATATACGTAATCCCAAACTTTTTATGGGCTTTTATAGTGATGATGCCACAGGCGGCACCACATTACAACTGAATCAGTGGTACCATGTATCGTTTGTCTACGACTATTCGATTAAAAAACAATATATTTACTTAAATGGAATATTAGATGGAGTATCTGCTAATACTCCGGCAGGACCATATAAAGGATCAGTGGGAAATTTAACTATCGGTAGAAACTTTGTTGTACGAACGCCATTAAATTATTTTAACGGATATTTAGATTCAATGGTATTTATTAACAATGTGAGAACGGCTTGTGATATTATGATTGATGCTACATTAGCTGCTTATTATTCAATGGATTTGACATTGACAGACTCTGGTCCCAATTCGTTAGATGCTCAAGCATCTGGTCAAACTAATTATACGAATGGTCATATAAATCAAGCGTTTGAATTTAATTTTGCTATTAGTTATTTTCAAACCGGTTATGGTTTTACATTTTTGGGTGAGAAGAATCAAGCATATTCGTTTTCACTATGGATAAATCCAATTGCTTTAACTGGAACAGTATTGCACGTCTCAAGTTCAGACACTGGTCTTGATTGGTGTTTGCCTGTTATAGGATTTTCATCGTCAGGTTCAATTATTGCACAAACGCTTAATTCTAATTTGACTGTTATTACTGCTCAAGGTCCCATACTCAGTTTGAATACTTGGACACACTTTGTCGTAACATGGGGCTCAACAAATGGTTTAAAATTGTATATCAACGGTACACTGGTTACAACAGTCAGTGTAACATCATTTTCAGCTAATAATGGGACAATATTACCAAAATATGTCACTTTAGCTAATCCATTATCGGGTGTGTCATGTTCGAAACAGGGTTTAATAGGTACACCCGGTCAATTCTATGGACGAATTGACGAATTTTATATTTTCGCAAAAGAACTAAACACAAGCGACGTTTGTGTTTTATGCTCCTATAAATAACCTTGAAAACCAATAAAGGAGGTGTTTTGCTGCAATCCATCTAGTGGAATATCTAGAACTTTTCCGAAAAGCGCCATCAAGAGAAAGTTGGAAATGGTAACATCTATTGACACTTGTTTTGAGATAACTTATGTGCATACTTGATTTAGGCTAAAACGTTCCGCACGGATTTCTTAAACAATTATCAAGTGTCCGTGCAGCTCTGGAATAAAAATTTGTTATCAATGGTTCACTTTTGAAAATTTACCTCCTGTAGGTAATCGTTATCACTTTCAACATTTCCATCTACTTTATTGATATCCGAAGCATATGGAGAATTTTGTGAAAACTTCAAATATCGGACCTTTTAAAAAACACTTTTTGCGACGCTACGAAATTTATTGAACATTCACAACCTGTGAATCTTGTGAATGTTCAATAGGAACCTACTACTTTTACTACTGTCCTACTATTTTTTTCTGATTTCACATACAAAATTAATATAAAAAGTAATTCAGATACTTTTAGAACCTCATTGACTGACTGAAATCGCTGAACACCAGACAAAACGACAGGAACCCCACCCTAACTTCTTGTAAGCCTATCTAGTTTTCTTGGTTAGCAGCTAGGCAAGTTCTTTTTTCTTTATTTAAGTCATCACACTTGCGGGGAAAAAAGCTAGTATCGGTTTTGGCAAATATTCTTCCATTGTTGAGAAAATTAATTTTCTTGAAACAGGTAGCAAAAACCAAGAAAGTTCACTTGTATTTTGCAGTTTTTACTGTCAAATTTTCATTTTTTCGCAACATAGATCTAATTTTATTTTTTAACTGACTTTTGTCAACGCTCAATAAGTAAAATTCTCGATTTTTCGACATTAAAAAGACCCAATGGTATCTAATAGGTTCGAAAAAACATTACACTGCAAGTTTGTATTAACTGCACCTTGCGTACAGCACGAACTACCCTACTACTATTCATGCAATTTTATAGTTAAATGGAACATAAGAAATCCATTTAGTTAATAACTCCGAAAACGTCGTTTTCCTGTAGCTAATAGTTTGATATTTCATGTTCGTGCATAGAACTTGGACTTCAAGAAATGAGAGTATATAATTGTTTTCATTTCAAAAGTAAATTTTAGATATGAATGAAGTGAATTGAGTAATTTAAATATATTATCAGGGGACGTATTGGAATTTATATAACAAAAAAGTATCATCGCCAAATCTAGGTAATATTTTACTCTTGCATCCTGAAGTTTAGAGTACAACGACTCGTCAAGATGACTCATGAATATATTTGCAAGAATCGTTGTTAGAGAAGAGCCCATGTCAATGCCATTTGTTTGGTGAAACATTTGTTCATCAAAGAAAAAATGTGCCTCTGAACTTATTATCTGTAAAAGTAACTTAAAATCCTTTCACTCTTACCCATGCCGATTTTTTTTCAAGCTTTTTTGAAAAAATGTGCGTTTCTTGGCAGTCTTTTGGCCACACTAACGGAACGCCAGAAAACACATGGTTTTTATATGACGTTTTGTTGCACTGTATTTTCATATGCAAAAATAAACAAAAAAACTGAGTGAATTGCGGCGCCATTGTACCGTTCAGTTCCAAGATGTAAAATGCAAATATCTCCGGTTCCGTTAAAACAAACTCAGAATTTTTTGTATTGTTCTGAAGCTCTCGTCATTCCTCACTAGTCCTAATAAAGGCATCGTCTCATATTGTCTGACTACTGACTCAGATATCAAACATGATGTAAAACTCTGATTTTTAGCTTTTTTTTGAAAGTGCGTTTGACTTTCAAACCTGAGCTAAGACTAGATTTTGTAGAAAACAACTCAGACGTCCAGAATATGTGCTTTGAGTTGAAATTCCAACATGTCGTCCTGTCGAAAAATCAAAAATATTGACTTGACTGACACTTCACCAGTTTTCTGTCCACTAACATTGAAGTTGAGTTATCTCAGTAGATATAACAGCTAGAGATCTGCGGTTAACGCAAAAAGATAGAGCATTGGAAGGTCTACAACTTCACTAAAAAATGTTCACTTAAACATGAGTAGTAAAAGCATAATGATAGAGTCTTCACTGAAAAAAAGTGATTTTGACACTAAATGTCCAACGACATTTTCATTTTTCTTTTGCTTATTACTCCGTGTTGGTAAGTCGGTTTAGATTGCCATTTCTACCCCTTTTCAAGCATGTAAAGTACTGTATATGCTGAAGAATTAATCTGAAAAATTTGTTTTTGTTCTTGAGATATTCAAAAAATAAGGCGAAAATGTCCGTCGACATTTTTTCTGTAAGGTGCAGCTAATTCAGAATTGCAGTAAAAACATTTTCTGACTTTATTATAAATATTCTGACTTACCGCATCGAGCTGATCTCAAATATCGTCTTCGTAGCTTTTAAAAGCTCTTTCTTCATGGAGAAAAATGCGAAAAACTGTGAAGACGTAAAAAGCCTCAAAAACCGACCTCCATCATAAAAGTGATTTTTTTAAAGTTATATTGCAAGCTAGAAAATTCTAACTATATTTTTCTGAATCGGTGTCAAAAACTGATTTAGAAAACAGCTGTCTATGTCATTCTAGAGTTAAACACTCGTCCGACATAGACGTTCGAACCAGTATATGTCAAAACGAAGTAATCCATCTTGTAACTGTATCTAGTTCATGACCAAGATAGACTATTGAAATTACTTCTCTTGCTGTTAGTTATAATGAATGCAATTGACTGAGCTGTTGGTGTAAGTCTTCTATATAAAATCCAAACACTAGCAGTGTTTCAACGTCTTGTACTCTCAAAGCTTTGTTTAATATTGGATAGACAAAGCTGTCACGCGTATACCAATAAGGCGTGCAGTTCAATGAGTAATCATGATTAAATTCATTGACTTTAATCAATTCCGTTTCATTATTCAAATAGACTGTTAGGGATGCAACGGTAACCGTAACCGCACCTTATCGGTCCAACTGGTTCTTACCGATTACTGTTACCGGTCCATTCGGTTTTAACCGATTACCGTTGCCGGTTTCAACCCGCGACAATTGCAAAAGCTACGATCAGAGTTGTACATGCGCATATTATTTTTTGCCCCACCTTCTTTGATACGAAACTTTTTAATAGATGTTTTTTCGAATCACTTCTTCTTGGAGAGCAAATTATTGCTTATATACCAAGAATTTGCTTCATAAAATAGTCAACATGTAAAACAATAAACTTGAAAAACAAAAGAAATATTTACTACACAATTCAAAACACAAAATAAATGTTTGTTTAATCACAGTTCTCTATTAGTCAACATAACGTTGAGGAAAAGCATTTTTTAACATGGAACAATTAGTGTAACCCAAACTAACTTAAGAACTCACATCACTTACAGAACCGGTTGGACCGGTCATGGTAACCGGTCAAAACTGGTAACCCTTAAACCGGTTAGACCGGTAGCGGTAACCAGTTGTCAACCGTTACCGTTGCATCTCTGTAGACTATGTGACAAAATGAACCATTAGTTTCTTACCATCTGCCGGTTGCAGATCAAATTTAAATAAAATCTCTGTTAATAGGCGGAAATACATCGAAAAAAAAAAGGATTTCAGAAAGAAAGTGTGTGAATGATATGAAAGTTCTTTTCTCTATGTTTCAGCGATATTGTTAAAATTGTATCTTGTTTTAGTCCCTTCCCCTCACAGTATCCAAAAAAGCTTCTCAATATTCTACTGAACCTTCAAAGTACTGTATTACAACTTTATTGAGAGTACAAGCTTGAGCTTTAACTTCAGTTTCTCTACTTTGTTTCTGGATTGTTACGTAGTTCTGGAAGATATACACCGTAGAATAGAAAAAAAGAGTCTAAAAAATGGACGCATCAAAGGTTGCCACATGACTTGTCTCCGCCATAAACTTGCGATCTACTTCGAGTATCGCTCTGCCTTCGTATTGTTTGATGCATTGCATCATGAAAAAGGGCGGAACGCATTTGAATTCCCGCTGAGTGACTACTGTTTCGTCCGCAGGGTCAAAGTATTCCTTGACAAAGTAATCGTACTTAGGCAACTTGACTAATCGAAAAGCGAGCACTTTGAAAAATGCGCCATGGTAGTGGTCAAACAGACGATGATACACGGCTCTGTCATAAGCAATAACGAATTCGTCGCCGGACAGCATGACTATGTCGTTAAAAAGTTAGAAATAATCTTTACAATATACAACCGCTAGAGTTAAAAAAAAGTTTATCTTCAACTTGAGGAAACTGCTGTGTGTGTAGTAGATGTCATGTAATAAACAAGTATATTTTTTAAGTGAACTTGAAAGAATTCGGTTTAGCGTCTTCATTTCGCCTTTCGTTAAAAAGGAAAAAATGTCCCCTGCGGGGCTCGTCGCGTACAGTTGTTGCCTCGTCATCGCCCCGTGCCTCGTCCAGCTTTCAAAAAATCTCCCTCGCGAGGATCGCTGCGTGAGGACGCGAGGATCGCTCCATGAGGGATCGTGGGGCCTCGCGATCCTCGTCCATCGCCCACCTCTAGTACACATGTATTAAAAAATTGTACTCGATAAATGGTGAAATCATTGAAACACTTTTTTATAGGTTTTCGACGATGCTCTCCCCAGTGGTCTAATTTCTGATCTTTGAAAGCGGTCTTCTGGAGACCGGATCTCTGGGAAACCGCCTAGAAAACTGTTTCAAAACCCAAAAACCATTCCACTGCAAAGAGCATCGTGGAAAACCTATGGAAAAAGTGTTTAGACACTTTCACATCACGTCTAAACCTCATGTCCACTTGCTTAGCCAGAATTACCCACTGTGGGAAGTCTTTTTTTTGTTCTAATAAGCCAAACGTAGTACTCGACCTTCTAATTTGACAGCACAACTACCACCACCTCTCCACAATGACAGATCTGTAGCTGTTGCTTCTGACATGGCTGTATCTTTATTAGTTGCTACTTCGAAATTAAATATATGTAAATTTTGTTTTTCTTGTAATAAATTAATAATCTTTTCTGGCTCTTTAGCTTTTATAGCACCATTAATTGCTGATTTATATTGATTCATTATTGTCTGTTTATAATTCAATAAGAGCTTTGATGCATACGTTTCAGTACGCCATCCACATCTAAAATTGTTTTCCGTTTCAACAACACGTGTTTCCAATATTTCACCGCCTACCGTAGCGGTACAACGTTTTACGTCATATTTTGTTTTGAAACCAGTACTAGCAACACGAGCTTTGACCGTACATAATGTTATCCATTTATCACCACCTTCACCATTTGCTGAAATTCTTAAACCGGCTCTAGTAAGATATGTTTGTGCTATTTGCTCATCTTGTGGATTACCAATAGCGGCCTTAACAGCAGCACTACGAGGAACAGTTGTATCAACTTGTGTATGACGACGATGTGTTTTAGGACGATTGCCATTCACATAATGACGATATATTCATTATTATTACGAAAGCGATAGCAAAATCAAAAAATTTATCTACCTAAAACATTCAAAAAAGAAAAGTTTGTGAAAAGGGAGACACCAGATGACAATTCTCTATCTGCGGAACTTCCCTCCAACCAACCCTTTTACGACTTCACGTTCTTGATGTATGTTTTCCGTGTCGTTGTTTTTTCTTTCTCTATTTACTTTTGTTTTGTTTTATTAGTCATATTTTGTTAGAACCGCCTAAAGTTGTCGCAAATAAAACGAAATAATTTTGTGTGTTGTTTTTGTTCTAACAAAATATCATACCCTGATTTTCGACGCCTATTTGATCATCTATTTTTATACCATCAAAATGAACCAAATTTTCGTTTAAATTGTGAATTATCCGATAAATGCGGAAAAACGTACAGGACATTTCAGGCTTTCGAGTCTTATATTTATAGACAGCATCAGAATTTATTAAAAAGTACATTAAATTCAAATCGCAACCATGATATTCATGTTGGATCAGATGATCCTGATTTCTCTAATAATGATGACAATAACGACAGTGAGGACAATGATGAAACTGTTGGAAATGGAGAAACTGCTTACCAGATTGATGACATGAATATTCAGTACACAAATGATTTTAGATCAATACCACCGCTACTTCCGCCTCCATTAGCACAAATACCTGGAACATACAGTATGGATGATTTCCAAAAACAGTTCGTTGCATTTCTTCTCGAGTTGAGAGAAGAGCATCTATTACCGTTAAACATCACAACAATCATTACAAATAAATTTGTCCAGTTATTAGCTATTGTCAGTACGTTAATCTCACAAAAAGCGAACGACGATCAAACAGATAAAAATGATAATAGATTCAAACTTGATTCCGTGTCGCAAATAATAAATGATGCTACAGATGTCGTTCAACGAACCACAAGAAATGAATCTCAATTCATAAAAATGTGTGAAAAATTCTTTGATTATTTACCACCAAAAGAAATAGTTCTATTCTCATCAACGCCGCCACCATCTGTGCAACGTTCAACGACTACAAAAGTATCAAAAGCCAAAGATGTTGCATATTATATCCCAATCCGTGAATCTCTAACCCAGGTATTATCAAAAGATGATATGATGCAATTGTTAATTGATAAAATAAAACAAGAAGAAGAACAAAAAATCAAAGACGACGATCTTATGTACTCATATCGAGATGGTGATTACGGAAAAGATGTTAAAAACGACACATTTTTATTACAACTTTACACAGATAGTGTTGGACTAACTAACCCAATGGTCCAAAGAAGGATTTACACAAGGTGTCATTGTATTATTATTTATTGGAGGACATACCCGATTTATTTCGATCTACTCTTCAATCCATCATGTTATTAGCTATTATTCACACAGAACATTTAAAAAATGATGAATATGCACAACGTTTTTACCAGGCTTTAAGTGATGATTTAAATCATTTACAAAATGTTGGCTTGTCAATTGATGCTTTTAGCTCACGAATATCATTTACATTTACAACAATTGCAGCCGATAATCTTGCTGCTCATGAAGTAGCAGGCTTCCAACAATCGTTTTCAAATGGCTTTTTTTGCAGACGTTGTCTAATCAAATACAATTTAAGAACATTACCATTGACAGATACATCGTTTCTGCCACGAACCGAACAACAACATCAACGTGTTATTGAAGAAATCAAGAATCAAAATCTTTCATCCTTAAATGGTGTTAATGGTGAAAGTCATTTTAAAGAATTAATTCGTTTCCACCCTACAAAATCCTTTCCGGGTGACGCAATGCATGATTTTTGTGAAGGTAATTTTGTGTATTTTAGTTTACTAAAATTATCATTATCGTTATTTGTGTTTCGTTCTTCATATAGGCACAATACCCATGATTATGATGAGTATGTTAAAAGAAGCATCGAGAAGAAAGTTATTAACTTATCTGAAAATAGAAGAGCGTACATTAAATTTTACATATGGCCAACATGATAAATCAGATAAACCACCAACAATTCAGATCAAACATATGAATAAAGAACGTCTTATTGGGAGTGCTTCTCAAAAACTACTTTTATTTAGATTGTTTCCTATTATATTCTATGATGTCATTGATCAACCAGACACGTTTAAAATTTACATTGTTCTTAGAGAAATGGTTGAAATTATTTTGGCACTACCAATTAGAAGAAGTTGGTTACCTCATTTAAAAACTCTAAGTACTCATTTTCATTCATTATTATCTCATTATTTACCTGATAAAATGCCTCCAAAAGTGCATTTTTGTTGTGAGTATTTTTCCATTATCCGTAATTTTGGTCCTCCAGTCAGATATTGGTGTATGCGATATGAAGGCCGGCATCTGTATTTTAAAAAATTAGCATTAAGAACGAGTAATTTTAGAAATATTACAAAAACACTATCAACACGTAATCAATTGAGGCATTGTTCGACATTATCAAAATGCCGTTTTTTTAAGTTAAATGACGAAACAGCTGGAGCGAAAACAGTGAAGATAATGAATTACGATGGTGAAATCAAAAAGCTATTAAATACAAAATTTAATATCGATTGTTCGCAACACGGAGCGATTCTTGAATGTACAACGCTGATAAAAAACCATGCACATTATAAACAATACTCGGTGATTGTGTACAAAATTATACATGAAGAAGACGTACCGTTGTTTTTTATAATTCATCATATAATTAAAGTCAACACAAATTGGATATTTATTATTGAAGACTTGACAACACATTCATTCAATGAACAACTATGTTCATATCGACTTGAATCAACTGGAAGATATGAAATCGCTTATCCAGAAAATCTAAACTATTTTCATAAACTATTAGATTTATATGACGTGAAGGGTTCATCTTATGCTTCCCTATCATATCGCGTAACAAAACATTAATTTGCGTAGGTTTCTTATCGTTCGGTCTTTTGAGAGATTTATATCTACTCCTCTTTTTTATTTGCATTTTTGTTAGAAAGGCTTTTCTAACACAAAGAGCCCAATTTTTGGTACTCAACTTTAGAAGAAAATAGCCATAATAAAAAGAAAATCGTCAAAACGTCCATTGTCGAATATTTGTTTTGTATGTTTTGTTCATATCAGTTCATATAAAACAGGTTGACAATAAGAAAGCAGAAAGATACACTGCTGTTTGTTTCTCCTAATAACCTACCATACGAACTTAGCATAAGCGTCTTATATTTGAATCAAAGAAGACAACAGTACAAAAGTACCAAATTTCTTCAGAATCTGAGATAGAAATGCTTTTGGTCCTATTTCTACCTTCGAAATGGAGGGAGAAATAAAGATTACTGTTATTTCCAGATTAAAAAAGCATCCCGTTTTCAGAGCTTTTCCAAAAAAAGAGAATTTCGGTGTTTTAAAAAAGAACAGTACTGTCATGCTAGGTAGAAAAAAGCACTCTTCTATTTGTCCCTTATTCTATTTAGAGAATCAGATTGATGGTGAAACATTAGAAATGATGTCAACGATCCCATTAATCAGTCATATTATACCAAAATATAAAGATCAATTGAAATTTCTGTCTGAGCGAGAACCATTGTTTTCATCCTCCGTAACAACAGTCACTACAAATGATACGTTATTGTCGAATATTCTAAATGATTTACCTAGTTTTTCGGCATCATCAGTAATTTTACCGACAACAACGTCATATTCGCATCATCTATTATCAAATTTTAAAGAACCACTTTCGAAAGAAGAACATATTAATGCCTTATTAGATGATATGGATGATGTTAGGATAAATGATAATGATTCGTTTTTACAGCAAATGACAACAATGACTGGTAGTTTAATACATGAAAAGAAAAGAAAAATTACTCTTCCTGAGAATTACCCAATGCCAGCCTTACCATCAATAATTGAACAAGCTATTGAAACTGGTGATTTCAGAAAATTTGATAATTATTGTAATTATCGTTCAGTAGTCGTTGATGCGATATTTCACGATTTACATCATAAGTATGAATTACTGTACGTATATCACACCGATAACACTGCGCACACATGTATATTAACTCTATTCGTGTTTTAGGTATCCAGAAAAACGTGATTATGACAATGTTGTTAGAAGTATTTGAAAATATTTGAAAATTCCCGTCGATAATGACAATATAGTGGGTTATTTATTTTTCACACAAAAGCAATTCTTCCTGGTATTTTTTCTTTTTTTAGCAATCGTGGAAAAATTCTCTTCAAACAAAATTCAAAAAGGGACGTAAACCATTAGCCCTAATGAATGAAGAGGTGAAACGAGCAATAACAAAATATTCTCATGTACAGTCTGGTCGAAAAATCAAAAAACAAACCACGGAAGAAGCTGAAAGACAAACAGATCGATTCGTAAGAGAAGATCTATGTCATTTAAATTAACATGTTGCCCTTTTCTTGTTTTTTTAAGGTTGTTATACAGAATATTGAAGATGAAGATGATGTGCAAGGAAATATTGAATTTATGAGAGAAGAGCTATCAAAAGAATCACCAGATATTGATCGTTTACGTCGCAGTTGGAGAATTACATTGAAGGCTAGACGCGATTTTGTTAGTCAGAATAAATCGATTGATATACTGAAAGAATATCCAGGCTATCGTCTGCCAAACTTGGTACGCACTACAGATTTTCATTGCAATTGCTTCGATGAAAGTGCTCATAAATACTATTTTAATTCTTTAAATATAAGAAATCTGTTTTCTTTTAATGTACAGATGCTTTATGAAATTGAACTACTTACACGTGGTCTAGATATTGTTACAAGTACAAAAGAATGTTTAAATTCATTGGGTGAAAAATTATATCATGTCAATGAAACTTTATTTGTAGCAGGGAAAAAGTTAAAATATTCTGTTGCAAAGTTACAAAATAAATCTTCGATTGATTTTTTCTCAATTAAGAACCAGTACAGTTTCGTGTGATTAAAATATTATGTAAAAAATTCGAAGAATCTCATCAGCATATATTATGTGGCGATAATGTAGGTATACAATTTAATTTTTGATTCAATACAGAGGTCAGAGTCTGTTGCAAATATTGTCTTTTCTTTTTAGGAACCATCATCACCGTATCCATGTCTAACATATACAGATCATACAATAAATGTTATGCTTGATCGACAAGTAATTTGTTCTGAAACAAGAATTGATCAAGCTATTGCATTATGGATGGCAACATATCACATATTTGAAATTAAATTTCAACATCATAATCGTGCAGCAAGATTATTATATTGTATGATATTAAAAGATAAATCATTTGCAACATCAACAGTGCGACAACTACTGAATGAATTAAATATAAATATTGAAGTAAATGTACCAAAAATTACAACAAGTCAAAAACAAGATTTATCAACATGTCCAATAGCTAAAGTGGTCCCTGATTCATTTGAAGAAACAGGTTCAATAAATAATATCATTAATGAGCGACAACAACAGAATGCTACAGATGAAAATGTTGAAAATGATAATAGTAATGATATGAATGAAACAGAAAATACTGCTCCACTAAGAGCATCAGTATCAAGTTTAGATTCAATAACACCAACAACAGTCAGCACATCAGTACAAAACCCAGTCAGCACAAATAATAAGCAACCATGCAAGAACAAGAGAAAACAAATTACCAATAGTTTGGATGATTTAACAAATGTTAACTATGATGAGACAAATACGACAGTCACACTAAGATCTTCAAAGCGACGAAAAATTTAATTATATTTTCTGAATCCGCTTGTTATTGAACTTTTCTCCTTGAAGGAAAACAATGTTTTTTCAAACCGCACAATTTTCAATGATAACATTTCTTTTTTATTAGGGGTGTTATTGCGTGCATTTTCATTACCAACACTACTTCTTTTTGTTACAACTAAAAATGTTACTCATTTGATTTTTGTTTTTTTAATTAGGCACAATAGACATTGGTAATAGCAGAACTTGAACAAAGTGTTTTCCTTCTTACCATTGCGCATTTGACTACATTTATTTTTTCATTTTATTTCTTTATTCTTTCATAAACGAAATATTCAAAAATAAGGAAATTTCCTCCATTTTATATCTACATTATCTTTAAAACGAACAAAACGAAAATACTTTTTTTTCTTTTCTTCTGAACAGATTTTTAATTGAAAAAATTTGGTAAACATTGAAAAAAACTTTCTTTTACTGTGATTTAAAGTGTGTGATTTTTCTCTTACTATGCCTCAGGAATGTGTGTAGTTTTTGTTTTGGCCTATTTTCTTTTTGTTGAAGCAGCGTTTTTCTTTCGCCCAATTTTGAGAAATAACGGGCTGGGACAGACCGACGAAAAAGCTGCGAGACCGAGGGCAAAATAGCCATTTTCTCGCTATTTTCGATTATTAAGGGAAATGGGCGGTGTTGTAATCTAAGTATTTTTCTGCTTCCTTCTTACACTTATTTAGTGTTTTNAAATAGTTTTAGAACGGGCGTTCTGACCCCGTATCAAAACTTTATACGGGGTCCAGACCCCGTACTGAGGCTGATTTATTTACATTCTAGCCGTTTCCTTGTGAAAGAGTACGGGGCGTACTTTTAGCCGTTCACTCACACCCCGTATTACTAGGCGTTCTCCCGTGGAAGAGTACGAGGCGTACTTTTAGCCGTTCACTCACACCCCGTATTACTAGGCGTTCCCCCGTGGAAGAGGACGGGGCGTACTTTTAGCCGTTCACTCACACCCCGTATTACTAGGCGTTCTCCCGTGGAAGAGGACGTGGCGTACTTTTAGCCGTTCACTCACAAGAACTAAAAATAGGCGTTCGGCCGTGGAGGCG